TATAAGAATACTACTCGCGAGACTAATATCTTCTGCGGTTTTACTTTTTCTTTCTTCTCTTTTATGAATTGCATCACTTTGCGGTGGCATGGGTGTATTAAGTTTGTTTAGGACTTTACATTTTGTTTCTCTAAACGATTAAGAAAATGCTCTTAGTCTGTCTGACTGTGTGTCAGACAGTCTGTTTGTCCATGCATTTAAAGGTCGCAATTTTCGAGATATCTCCATTAATTTTAATATGCTGACATTTTTGTGTCCAAGAACGAAAGCTGTCGAAAATAAATTGCGTCGGACTAATCGTATAATGACTTGTTTTTAAAAAATTTGTTATAAGACGAAGAAGTAATATTCTTGACAAGAATCTGACAGAAAATGAGCAAAATTTTTATGGAGCAGGACAATTTCTGAACTCCTCTGGTATACATATGTGGTCTTACAAAAAAGAAAGCTCTTCATAGTTCATTGCAAAAGTTTCTTTGGGATGCAAGAACAACCAACGGAATAATAATATTCGAGGAAGTTGCTAAGACTGTACTTAAGTATTAGGCATAAGAATATTGAAAAATCACGACATTGGAGTCATAAATGAATGAAAGGGTGATAATATGCACAACTTGTCCACTTGATATTTTTATACTCACCAGCAGCAACGAAGAATGCAAGTTCATTCACTTTGTAAAAATGTTTGCAGGGTTTCCGAAAAAAAGCTTTACAGTCTAGCAGTAAAGCACATGTATCCTTAATAGGTATTGAATTATGACTAGATCTAAGCATGTCCTTCTGCGTGCGGCCTGTATTAAAAGCTCTCTGGTCATAAGCTGAGAATAGTTCCGCTTTCTATCTGTCATTTATATCCTCTAAAAGTGTAATGATACAAATTTACAGGGATTTGGGATTTCTAAGGATGATGTGATAGTGCTAGTGCCAAAATGGAAAAAGTCGAGCACGTTTATCATACACTATAGTGTATCGTGACTTCATGTGGTGCAAAAATGTGCTATAAGAATGGTGATGTTTACAAAACACCGTTATATCAAAAACAATCAAGTGATGGTGGCTTCTCACCAAAACGACATTTCTGCTTTACGGCCGCAAAAGCAGCAAAAGTCAAATGAAAACGAGAAATATTGTGTCCGGACGTCAATGCGTTAGGACAGAGTTGGTGAATATATAGAAGTATAATTTCCTTACTTGTTATTGTTGTTTTTTATTTTGCAATTTTTTTATCTTTTTCCGTCGATGTTTTTTAATTTTTTACGCTTTTTTTGTAAATCATTCCATTGCAAAACAAAAAAAAGGGAAAGATTTTTATCAGAAATTAAGTTACATATGCAAATTCAAATTTTCCTCAGTAATTAAGCGGATTTCATTCAACTCATCATTCATTAAATCAAACAGAAAAAAGCCGACACATAAATACACATACGTAATTTGTTTTTTTTTTTTTATAAATATAAAAATACATTATAAGCAGCATAGCATAGCATAGCAAAATGATGTACATCTTTCATATTTCATATGGGAGAGAATGCAAACAAACAAAGTGAAATCAGTTCACTCACGGTCTTCGCTGTAACGAGAACATCAACCTTTTCGGATTCGGCGCTAATGTTTAAAAGACAATTTGCTCTAGTTTAGCCAAAATTGCAAAATCTTGTGAATAGGGCAATAAAACGAAAGCAAAGATTCATCTAATATTTTGCTTGCTTGCTATTACTATACGTAACGACATCAATACAATGTAATTACAATTAAAGTAAATTTTTTTTTGTTTTTTTTTTCTGTCGAATAGTTAATCTGTTAGCAAACATCGTTGACATGGTGCGCGTGTGTGTGTGTTTGTGACCTTGTGCATAATATAATAATATTGTACATATGCACAGCATATATAAATAAATTTAAATTTAAATAAATAAATAAATTAATATACTCTTTCGTTTGTTTTTATGAAGATCGGAAATGCCTTCAAAAATATTTTCACGCTCTATTGTGTGCCGTTCATTTGTGCCTTAACTACATTTTTCTTCTTTCGTTTGTTTTATTTATTCATTTATTTTTATACAATGCATTTATGAAAAAATATTCTTGCATGTAAACGTTGCTAAGTGTCATCCTCGTCGTGCCTGTCGTGCCTGTCGGGCCATATAATTGTCAACAACAACGGCTTGCAATGTGCGGCACAATTTTCACTGTCGGTGCCCCCAGACACATATTGTTTGCTTTTAAAATAATTTCTTTTTTGTTTTATCTTTGACATTCTCTGTTTCATTCATAATTGTTTTTTCTTGCAAGGTTTCTGGTTTGTTTTCTTGAACTTGAAATTGTTTGTATTCATTTTTTTCCACCTTTTTTCTTTATTTCTTTTTTTTTTAGAAAACTAAACATTTTCGAGAAATTAAGCTCCAAATGAAGTGAGCATAGTCCGATTTGTTTCAAAAAATTGATTTAAAAGGCAATAACGATAATTTGAAATTTTTTTTAAATTCGAAAAACAAAACATAAAATTTCCTGTGCGAATCGGATGAAAGTTGAAAAAGCATCGAAACATGGTTTCGGGAGAAATTCGCTTAAAATTTCAAGTTACAGTTCCGACGAAGTTTCCGTATTGCTTTCAATCCGGATCATTGCACCTGATAATTGCTTTAATGACTTGCAATACTTTTTACGCCAATTTATCTGTAATAAGGCTTTAGGCCTTAAACAAGTAAGAAATTTATAGTCGGCTGGAGCCGAATCTCGCTTACCCATCGCTATGCTTATCGCATTCTACTCTGCAAGTTGGTTTGCTTGAGACCCACCCTGCTGGTATTATTAAGAGAGAATTAAATCAGATCGCGGAGTCTATCATATTCATTTTAGAATTAACCCAGGCAGACTATATTTTCATTCGAGGAAAGTACAAAATAATAACGAGTAAAAACCCACAAATTTTTATTACGAAAAACGCAACTGCTGTCCATGCTCCACCATTTGGTTCACTTTCAATACCAACCTGCCTGTAAGTATTTCCAATGTGTCTACCGAGTTTGAAGTCGTTTTCTTCATTTTTGCAACCAGAAGAATGCCAGCAACACACCACGCAGACGGACAGACATGGCTTAATCAATTCAGAGTAGTTATAATTCAAGAATATATATACTTTATAGAGTCTCCGAAGTTCCTTCCTTCAGTGGTGCAGACTTTTTTGTTTGCTTTAATTAGGTGTACAAGAACAGTTGTCTGGACGCGCCTCGTAATATGAGGCCCTGCTGAAAACTCAACTTATAATGCATTTCCCTGTATTGCAACTGTTTTCCTTAAATAAGGAACGTAGTGGAAGCGTTTGTTGTTCTTGGTAGGGTCTGTAAGCGATAATTTCATTTGGCTGGAGCAGATCATAGCTCAGTAAAACCACCTAAACCCGTGCGGGGTGCTTGGGGTGTAGGACTTTAAATAGATATTTATACCCTTTTTCTTCTTTTTTCATTACCAGTACTTTATCTCGTGTGACGCATAAGATGTAACGCCTTCGCGTTTGGCTCCTTTTTGGCACAGATCGTGGCTTCTTCAAAGGTCCCAAAAAGTACTATCTACACTTTAGCAGAATAATTTTTACTATTCCCTGTAAAAGTTATTTCCTCTCACTCCTACGTCGACTACATCTCGACGTTGTCTTTCTTATATCAATTGCTATGTTGGCATAAAATCGACATTACATGATTTAAAATTATTAATTAGGGAATTAAATAACACCTATCATCCTGGACAGAAGAGTTTGAAGATAAATACGAATTTACCTACCAAAGATTTCTATCATCTCCCTGAACAGAGCTCTGTACACGATCTAACAGGTCTCGTAGGTATTCTAGTGCGACCAAACTAAAAAATTCAGTCGATATTTACCTATATCAGGTGAAGCCCAATTTGTTGTTTGGTGTATTATTCACATGATATACGCGAATATAGGCAACATTTTTCGGTTTTGGTGCACCAGCATCTCAAATTTGACCATTTTCCCGTCGGTATACACTACCATACCAAACTTTAAAAATGTGGCGAAAATAGTTCTGGAAGCCGAATTTGGTTATGTTTAGCCACATGCCGTGCCAAAAAGGCAAATTCAGTAAAGTCCATGTCATCTTTCTGCTCGCCACCACCTCGCTTCATACCACCTTTATATTTTCTTCGGTTGTACAACAACAACAATCATAAAATAATTTCTTCCATAGAAATTCTAAGGAGTAAATCGGACTCATTTGCTTTGCTCTTATTCGGGCGGGCAATTCGACATTTACACTCCTAATTTTTATACCTACTTCTAGCTCCTTGATAGGAGTTGGTCGGTGGTTTCGACACGCAAACGACTTGAAGAGTACAAAGGGTTAACGCTGTCGATTACGATTTACGATAAATTTCAATTAAAAATTCTAAAGTAAAATCAAGGACAAACTTTGTTAGCTACCATCGCCCCCAGTTCGGATTCTATGGACGCAAAAGAAGAGTAAATGATATCGGTCGAATTTTATATATAATTACCTCGATTGTCTTGGGCTTGTCTTGCATTTATAACGCACATATTAAATCTTTCAAGCATTGATGGCGTCATCGGTTGAACTTCTAATGGTTTCGTTTTTTATAACAATAATGAAAATTGATGGCTGCGTTGAGGGTTTTACGTTCATATATCTTTTCAAAAACAGATGTTTTTAATAATTACGCGGCATATGCGTGCAAGTAAAATGATCGAATTTTTTTTTGTAGATATTAGCAAACAAATATTCACAACTTGCTGATTATCTTCTAGAGGAAGAAAGAGTATCGCGTATAATATTTATAAAGATTTTTCATATTTCATAAATGAAATATTAATTAATGATCGTGTGAGTGTATTGAATATGGTAAACATTATGCGAATTCATAGACGCGCTGTATCTCGCGTCTCACTAATTCAGACCAAGTAAACTCAGTTAATGCGAAGAGTTAACTTTCCAATGTGGGTAAAACAATTGTTTGTCTTGCAGATTGACTTATCAACCCGCGTAAAAAAAGTTTATATGCGTTTACTCTAGCCGTTACAAAATGGATCAACCGCTTATAGTGCAAGCAGAGTATTCCTTTAAGGGCGGCAATAATGATGAGTTGTGCTTTAAAAAAGGCGATTTAATAACAGTAACGCAGCGCGAGGAAGGCGGTTGGTGGGAAGGTACGCTGAACGATAAGACTGGCTGGTTTCCCAGCAATTACGTAAATGAATATAAGGCACCTCTGCCCATCACAGAATCTATTCGACCACCTGAGGAAATACAAGAATATCGTTCGGTAGTTCTGAAAGATTTACTCGATTCTGAACGGGCACATGTTGCCGAAATACAAGGATTATTGGAAAATTTCCTGGAACCTTTGCAACAAACGCAAATGTTGGTGAAACCTATTAATATTTTTTCATATAATTATGCAAAGAAGTAATGACTTTTATTTTTTTGTTCACTAAATTTAGACTCACAGCCGACGAATATGCTCAACTTATGTGCAATTTTGTAGAGATAGTTAAAATCCACGAAGAGCTTCTATCGCAAATGGAGGAATGCAACGATCGAGTGGGAAAATTGTTTCTTACTAAAGCACCGACAATGAAACAAGCTCATCAAGCCTATTGTGCGGCACACCCTAAAGCCATCGTTATATTAGATAAACACAAGTAAGTTGAGTTTTACAAGAAAATCATTGACTTAGCAAAAGTTTAATTGTTATATAAATTTAGAGATGAGTTAGAGAAATATATGGAACGTCAAGGCGCCGCTAGTCCCGGTCTTTTAGTACTCACAACGGGTCTTTCGAAGCCATTTCGTCGTCTAGATAAGTACTCAGCTATGTTGCAAGAGTTGGAACGTCATATGGAAAACAGTCATCCTGATCGTGGCGATACGCAGCGAAGTGTATCGGTTTACAAAGATATAGCAGTACGTAATATAGCTCGCTTTTTAAACTTTATTTCCTTCTTAACTTTACAAACTTTAGGCCACTTGCTCAGCCACGAGAAGACAGAAGGAGTTGGAATTGCAAGTTTTGACGGGTCCCGTAAGGGGTTGGCAAGGCCAAGAACTAAGTTCATTAGGTAAATTCTTAAAAAATCTCCATTTACTCAATTAATACTATGCATTGGATTCCGCTTAGGTGACATTATACATATGGGGAGTGTAGCGGTGGGACCAGATCATAGAGATCGCTACTTCGTTCTATTTCCTCATACCTTGCTCATACTTAGTGTTAGCCAAAGAATGAGTGCCTTTATTTATGAGGTATCGTTGAAATCTATCCTCATTTTTAGTTAAAATATCAAGTTTTATTTGTTTGTCATTTTTAGGGTAAATTGCCATTAACGGGGATTATAGTTAATCGTTTAGATGATTCCGACATTTACAAGAACGCTTTCGAAATTAACAGCCCTCTTATTGAACGTATCGTCGCCATTTGCCAGGGCCCCAACGAAGCTAACAAATGGGTGGAACTATTGACATCCGTAAAACTCTCAATGCCTGTGGGGATAAAACGTCAATTAAGCAATTTAAGTAATGCTTCAATTGGTGGCGGCGGACATGTTCATCAACCACCTACGCACGTAAGTATTCTAAACCCATCAATCAGTTTGTTTATCTTGAATATCATACATTTTTTTAAAAAAAAATACCGACAAATTATAAAAGAATCAACAGACTTCTCAAAACTTGGATACGCGAGGATATTGTACACGTTTCTCATTGTGTGCCTATTATAATAGCCCCTCGCTTATTTTGCATAATGTCACTCTGCCACCCAACAATTACCCACCGGCAGCACCTTACGCTGGCCTTAGTGAGCACTTTGCTAATTTGGTAAAGGCTGGAAAATTGCGGGGAACTTTAGTCAAAATGCTATTATATCCGCAGTCAAGACAAAGCATTGATTTAAAATCAATTCCGATACGTCAGAAGAAATGCCATAAAGCCACTGTCAAGTTTATTAAAAAGAATTGTAACTATGTCATGGACACGTTCAGCATAATTCAGCATTTGGACTTGGAAAGGCAAAATGCATTTGAAATTCCCACTGATTCTGAGAGTGGAGATGAAGTAGAAGATTCCAACGTTGAAGATTGCGGTGGCGAATGTGTCTCTAACCCTTTCGAGTTCATTCAGTTTTACACAGATAGGCATGACTCACTTGGATCAACGGGAACTTTTATAGACCATGGATCCGGAGCTAACTCTCCGCATAGAATGCGTCATACTTCTTCCATAAATCTGATAAGGTTCGATTTAGATAACGTCGACGATGATAAGCGATTAAGTGGAATGCATAAAGAATCTTTAGTAATCGGGTCAAAAACCATGCGTGCGATAGCTAGAAAGTCTAGTGAGCAAAGTGTTATTATTCACACCTCGACAGCTCGTCTTGATCTTAGTGGAAATATTAGTGCGAGTGCAAATGATCCAAAAACATACTTGAGGCCCCCTCTTAAACAACAACAAACATCAGAAACCTCTGAGATGTCTTCGGTATATAATGGGCGTTTGGGTGGAGCGTACGTTGCCTGCGAAAATCTGGCCAATATGTGTGACGAAACTCAAATAAAAACTGATCGGCCAAACGTAGCACCTGCCGAAAGGCATAGTATGCCAAATATTTTTGTGGGGAATCGTTTTAATCGCAGCTCAAAAACTTCGGTTTATGTACCATCCTGGAAAGATCGCAATGAGGTGCAAAACGAAAGTGTTGACGGAATCGAGCGCAACGCCCAGTCAAGCAATTTGGTAATTCATTCCAGTTCAGTGGATTTGCCACCAACAGGGTGTCGTGATATTCCAGATAAACTTCAAGCAGAGCTTTTGTATAACTTTAAAGAAAGCAATGACATTATTGCACCGCCATCTTTGTACAAAGAGAGCTCGAGACAATCTAGGGAAGAATCAGCGGATCCAAAGCGTCGTTCGAATTCCTTAAAGCGTTTTATTCATTTCCAGTGCATTCCTATGAATTTAAACAACGAGCGGGACTCCTCACAACAAATTGGTTCCCAATTGAAAGCTACAAATGAAAGAAATCACATTCCAGATAATCGTGATCATGTTCGAAATCGTCATCGTAATGGCAACGGTACGGCAATCGATCTCTCTAAATGTAAATGTTGTGAAAATTCTCAATGCCCCAGTCCTCGTTCCAGCGATTCGGGAATGGCTGGTAGTTGCACAATAGCTTCACCCGATCCACCTCAAACAGAATTACATTATTATGATATCGACGGGTCGTCGCAATTGATAAGTACACCAAAAATTGGAGATAATGACGCTACAGATATGGTGCGTTTTGATGTTTGCGGTACATTTAGAGAAAAGTTTCTTACCTCAGAAGTTGTGCAGGAATCTAGTGATATTACGAACGTGGAGAGATCCTCGAATCCTTTAACAGCCGATGTGGACTTGCAATTAAAGGCGAGCAGTACTGTTTTAAATACTACAAATCCCACTGCTGATACGAGTAAAATTAATTTGTGTTCCAACATGATCTTCACTCCAAATTTGGAGAAGGTAGACGCGCCTGAAACATCCGGTTTATTTCGTTCAGGAATGTATGCACATTGGTGGAAAAAAGAACCTCTACCCACCGCTCTGGTTGGAAGCATAAAAGATGCATGCAAAGAAAACCTGTTACCCACGCAGCAAACAAGTGAGGATTCACGTTGCTCGCTATGTTCAAGTTGTTACTGCGCAGTAGGCGCTGGCGGCTTTGGTGAGGAGACAATATATTGTTCAATATGCCAGGATTGCACTTCCTTTAAGGACAATAGCAGAGAAATGGATTCTACTTATCGGAATTCTGCCACCTTTCCCTACACGCCAAGGACACGCCCGACTTCCATGGAGTGTCCTTTATGTTCGGCTTCCTATATAGCTCGTCACGATTCTTTGGGTTCTATAGCAGAGGATGTGCCAGCGGCTGTTTTAGAAGGCAAGCAAACTATCGAACATGCCAGTTTATTTTTGGAAGTTCCGATCGGGATCAAAAATAACTCTGGCATAATTGTTTTGTGCACGTTTTTCGTTTTGTAAATTCGTTAAGTTCTCCACAATAATATTGCTTTCACTACCACCATTACATTTCGTCTTTTTCAAAGAACCTAGTTTACATTATGCTGTAAAGCCGTACAAATTCAATTGGGATTCAAATGAAACACATTATTGTACGACTCAAACGTATGATATAAACTGCATGAGTAGCTTTTCGCCTATTTGACCCATTTTTGTGACCGTGGTTCTCGTTGTTACTTTTGTATTTCCTCTTTGTCATCTGATTCATATTTGCACTATGGAATTCAAACATTTGCTTGTATCAGACTTTGTGAAAATTAAATGCTTTCCTTTTATAAAGAAAAAAACAAAAAAAAAAAAAAAAAAAAATATTATGCAAATGGAGATCTTAACAATATGCCCGAAAGCAATGGATTAAAACGAAAACGAATTTACAAACATGTTTACCAATTGCACTGCGTTTAGCTTGCTTGCGCTTTTTTTTACAGCCTGCGTATAAAGCTGGACGAGCCTCTGTTTGTATATGGACAAATGCTTCATCAAAACTAACTAAAAAATGTGTTTCACAATTGTTTACGTTAACATTTCATTAACTTGAAAAATTAATCACATATAAAATGCACATGTACATATTGATATATATATATATATATATATAATGCTTAAAGCTCAGTTTAATGTTTCCTTTATTTTCCTCCTCATTTTTTTAGATGTCTCCGCCAGCCAATCTAGGTTTGCTAAGTCAACGAATGAACAATCAACAACAATCAACGGCAACAACGAATTGTGCCGCAACGACCACCACAGCTGCAGCACCGCCAGCCATGTCACTTCCGTCACAACACAAACGGAGCCTATCGTTCAATCATCACCTAAGTTACAATCAATATACGCACAATCAGCATCCACCACCTGCTCATCAACCTCATCATCAACAACAACAACAAAGTCTACCAAATCATCCGGCGCCACTTCCAAGCCACAAATCAAATTTAGTCCAGACATCGAGCAGTATTTCAAAGACTCCAAATCAAACCCATCTCCCTCTAAACATGGCCACAAACGTAAGGAGCGTAAACACAAAAGGTTAGTTAGTTAGTGTCTCATACATTTTAAATCAAAGAAGCTCTGTCAAGCTCTGGCCGTTGTTGCTTATCTTCAGCTAACTGGAGCATAACAAATTTACGTCCAGCACCACCACTTCGGCCAAGTCTGTTCAACGCCACCGCTACAAGTAATACTGGATGTGGAGGAGGTGGTGGAAGCAGTTCAAACGCATTGTCTTCTTATTTTAATAGTCGCAAAAATCAACCTACTTTCGAAGAAGACGCTTTGGTTTTGCGTGTCTTTGAAGCTTACAGCGCCGCCTATCAAAACAACATACGCAATACCATACATTCAGGTATGTTTACGCGCATATAATACGAGCAGTTTTCATTTTCTTTGTTGGCTTTTGTCTTCTAATTAAATTTTATGTGCTTGACTCATGAATTTGTCTTAAGTTTATAATGATTTGTTGTTAACATTAATTTTTGGAAATTTTTTTTTGCACACAGAGCCGTTAAGAAAATAATTCATATAGCTTTACTAGGTGACGTGTGTGAACGAAACATGAATAATGCGACACTATGCTAATAATTTGCTGCATTTATATTTTCTCTATAATTTAGTTAAATATTGTAATAGTTTGCACAATAACTTAGTTTTAAGTTTCTTTTTTTTTTTTTTTTTTTTGGGCCTAATCTAATTTTAATTTAAACACATAAACCAAAGCTTTAGAAGAAAATCAAATTTGTTTATGAAATCCCATCATTCGCCATAATTAGTTACTTAAATGCTAACAAAAATCTAGAGTCCTCGCCTAAAAAGCGTGCGGCCTTACATTCCATTTAAGAAGTTTGACGTAACACTAGAAATTTTATTTTAAATTTAGTTATCAGGTACCAACTCTGCCGGAGATACGCCACTGTGTTAATTGCAAAAGTAGGCAGGAGTAATTGAGGAGGAAAAAAAAAAATCTGCGCAAAATTAGTACAGACGTATAGGCACATGAAAGTTATCAAAAAAGGCCGAACTTTGCAGATGCGTGGTTTTAATTCTTTTGCAAAAGAATAGAATATTTTCCGATCTCATCAGATTTTGTTTCCATTAGCCCGATTTTTTAGCGTATCACACATACTTTTTATTATTCGCCGCACTGTGTTAATAATGAAATTGATACCTCATCAAGTCTCACGGCCGCAACTGTTTATATTTCTTCCAATTCTATCTCTGAACGTTTCATTATTTCAATTCTGCTTAGAGTCCCTAGTTCCAGAGAGTGTAAGCGATAAATGTCAGTTTATCACAGCTGAATGCATATTTTGAATAGAACAAGTTGCATGTTTTGCCGAGTTGCGAGCAAATGATAGCCTTTCGAAAGGATTTAATGAATATGATGTTATATAAAAAGAAAACATTTTGAACGAACTTTCATTTTCCAATTTCCAATTTCTCTAAACGTCACAAGTTTTTGTACATATTCGCATACAATTGACTTTGGGAAAACATTCGTTTTGCACCGCATTCATTAAAAGAAAAAATTTAGTGAGTTTTTTTTTTTACATACAATTCGTTTTTTACTTTGTACTTTATTACAATTCGCATTCTACTCCCTTAAGCCTTTTATTTGATATCTGTATCAATGGGATTGTCAATGAAAAGATTTTCCACTAAATCACAGCGTCCGTTACGTTAAATTTGAAATTAACTCCTTTAGCTCGTCGTATTCTACTCTTCGGGCACTTTCATATGATATCCATGTCAAAGTAATTCTTAAAAAAATATAATCGGCCATTAAAATGGCGACTATAAAACGACGACCGTACCTTATTGCATTATCATCGGAAGCAATATGTTGATCAAGATCAGATTCCTTCTACAAAGTGTGTATGTATCAGATCTCTCCTCTAAAGCGATAATTTATGTCATAACCTCATTTCGTTTCACATGACGCATAGCATTCCGTTACAAATACTTACACAAATTCTGGCTGTAAAGGAATTTGGAAATTATTGGTATAGAAAACAGGTCTCTTTTTCGGGAAGTTTAGGAGCAAATTCAACAAATTTATGTATGTGCGGGATGTACGCGGAATATCTGGAAAACTGCAACATAGAACTTGCGACAAATTTAATATTAATTAGAGGCGTCCACAATATCGAACGATATAAGTAAGATGTGAAAAGTCGTCCCTATAGTACGAAATTTTGGATAGATTGACCTTGAGAAAATAAAAAAAATGCAAAAATTGGAGAAAACATCCTTTCGCAGACAAGTTTTGGAAACTGACCAGAGAAGAACGAAAACACCTTCATGGTAACTAATTGGCTAAAAAATAATAGTTTTGTAAATTGTTATGTAAAAATACTTTCAATTGGTCGACTGATACAGTGGCAAATAATACGCACTTACTGGTGATGGATATCCTAGGTTTTCGATGTCAGCCGCATAGAGTTTTCTCACTGATTTGCTTTAATATTTATTTGCCATGTTTTTTTTTCACCCATTATTAATTGATTAGTTATTCGGCACTAAACCTACATTCAACTACATTAACGTTTATATATACTAGTTACGGTTCATTATAATTTCCATCAATTATTTACTAAATGTGTCTTTTTTTCGTTCGCCCACAGTTAATTTTTTTACATTTTGTTTTTCTTTGTTCGACATCACATTAAAGGGGAAAGTTAGTGTATGACAAATTGAATAACTCTTATCATTCGACATATAGCAACTAACACAAGTGCATACAGTTTTCTTGCATATAAATTTTATAGCAAATCCTAATCGTACGTACAAAGAGCGCTTGCCCGTTTGCGCGCTTTCCATACCAATTATCTTATACTCTCTCTTTACAATGCAAAGGATTTGATTTTTCCAAGCAATAAGAAACTCGAAAAAGGCTTTGAGCGCTCTCTGTGTTTTCATATCATTTCACGGCTCGGTAAACATACCTTGTCTTATCTTTTAATTTTTTTTTTTTTTTTGGAATTGGGGTATGGGTGTTATTTAGGCTTGCAAGCAAGTTCTAAACTAACTACCCTCACGTGGTATAGTATACTTTAGGTAAGGGAAACAAGCATGCATGTAGGTTTGGGTTAAAGAGCTCGTGAAAGACAGACAAAGAAATCAATTCTGGTATTCCCGCCGGTAAGGGCGATACGCGGACTTAACTCAATGCTTCGAAAATATTTGACGAATCTAATATGCTTTCTCTATTTGATAATAAAAGCGACACCGCCTTGGAAGCACTTTTGACAAACACATGATTGTTGGGTAAAATAATCCAAAAGTTAGGAAAACTATCACTTTGTCTAAATGTTAAGCTGTTCCGCTTGTTTCGATTCCTGATCTGTCAGTGTTTGATCATACAATTCTGTAAAAAATTTATATGCAAGGCAGCTGCTGCTGTAATTGGTATTGGTTCTGTTGATTACATTTTTTTGCTCTTAAGTTTTTCAAATATTAATAAACTCATTTTTGTTTTTTCATTGCTGTCGATCCCGTTCTGTTGCCTGCGCGCTTATATTTATATGATTTTTTTCACACTTTCTCTTTGTATCTCTCTCTCTCTCTCTCTTTCTCTCTGTTTCTTTCTTTCTATTTCTTTTTATCTCTTTATTATTCCCTGTTTATTGCGCAAATATTTTAAAATTTTCTTGCGGCGTCTTATAGTTCTTCAACCATGGACACCGTGTTTACCCATACGTGGCGGTAAATTAAAGACTAGCAAACCTTTCTCCACTTCTAATCCTCAGTTGCCGTTCTTATGCAGTACGGGTGTTCCTTTTCCCGGCTCCAGCGGAGCCAGTAATCAACAAAACTCCACAAATAGTCTAAATTCATCGTATATTTGGCGTGAGGCGAGTCCTAACAATTTTAATTTATACTCTTCCTCGATTTCTTCTCTTAACGCGGCCGGTTATCGGTATTCTCTATCTGGATCCGCTGGAACTGGTCCTAGCGGCAATGCGAATACTTCATTAGGTGTCTTAGACTACCGTGCCTTATCAGAAGAGAGAGCTACCAGAAAATCATTGAATCGTCTAAAAAGCGGTTTCGGTTCGGGTTACGATAATATATTTATGACGCCTTTATTGCCACGGAAAAACAAAACGTCACCAAAAATTATAAAAAATAACTGTCAAGGGCAAAAGAGACCACCAAATATACGACAATATTCTGAAGAACAACCAGCGAGCGCTGCTCATCCAGGACTTTACGATCGACGTTTAAATCGTTCCTTTGAGAGTGGATCGAGTAATCGTTACGCAGGCTACGGTGGCGGTTATATGTTAGGCTATGGCCTTAAATCGACTGCTATTAGACGCAGTACTCCGCATTTAACAGGCGACGAAGCACTCGATGACAGCGATGATGTGGACGGTCGGCATTCGATTCAAAAGGCCTGCACAACCGCTTTACTTAAAGGGAATACAAATGGTTCGGCGACGTCCGCTGTTGATGCGACCGTATACGGTGTTGGTAATGGAGACAGTGATTCTCAAAGGCATTCAGGCAATTGGTGTTGCGGTAATTTTGTAATGAAACAGTGGCGAAAAATCAACAATTACTGATTGCCGCCCACTGTAACAGAGAAAAGCTTCAAAATTGATTAATTGAATGCTAGATTTCTAAAACAAACTTACAAACACATGTACATATAACGAAATTCATACTTCATATATAACAATGGCCCTTGAAAAGACTTAAATGATCATTTTGTTTCATCACTTCTCCCCCCTTACATATATTGATGTAAATGATTATAGGATTTGAAAAAATGCCGGATGCCGCGCACCCAACAGCATGTTCAACAACATGTACATCAACTTTTACTAATAGTTATTATAAAAAGCTTTAACCATTTTTAAGATGAATTTTCGAGCTCTCAGCACCTAAGACTATAAAATAATTTTTTAATATAAATTTTTAGCGCAGTTAACTCAATTGCATTAGCAACACAGCACATGCGTTGCAAGAAAAATATGGTAATCTATTGGATATTTTTTGCTTTACAAAGGCTTGTGAGCAGCGTAGCACTCTACGTTTCTGTGCAAATATTTCGGAAACTTTTAAAGAGTATTTACAATTCTTTAAGTGGAGCAAATGCTGATGTCCATGTCATGTTAAATTGAGCAATGCCAACTTTAAGTTTAATAGTAAGTTATTTGGAACTCAGTAGTCATCGTGCCCCGTTTTAAAAGTCCGATTAAAACCTGCATTGAATGACAGACGACTGTGTTTTTGTACAAATTTTTAAATTTAACAATAACTTGCAATTTCTGTGACCTATGAAAAGTATTGGTTGAAATATAATTAGTTTCCTCTGTTTCCCGAAAAACGTAAACTTTCAAACGTCCAGTTAGAACGAATTAAAGACTTTATTTCATTCTCTTTAGAATCACATAAAGTTAAGATTGGCCAAACTATTGATGTTACAAAAATAATAATGCAGAAGGATCACGTAGAAGGAATTTAAGACCATGGCTTATTTAACGATATTCATATAACTTACTGTTGAATATTCGCGAAGGGGATAACAATTCATTGTTCTTCTTATTTGCAAAGAAAAATGTCTATATATTAAATATTGTGTGAATGAAGTCTTCTCGAGTAAACTATATAAATAAATTCTTGCCGGTTTTTGATAAAAGTCGAGTATATTTAAAATGTACTTATTATAATAAAGCTCAATAATCGAAATATGCACCAGTATTAGTTATGATCTTTCCTCATTTATTGGGTAGCTTATGCTTACCCTCGCGGTAGAAACCTGTTCGCCTGAAGCCCAGACAGCCATTGGATCCATTTTTCCACATTTCCAACTTCTTTGAAGCGCTGGTTGCTAACTATGCTGGGATCAAACTGAATAAATGGCAATCGAACAGGACCAGGTCTGGAGAATACAGCTGGTGCGGTAAAACTCCCCAGCTGAAACTTATTTCCTTGCTGTTTTTGCGAAAGACAGACGATTAAATATGTTGCCCAAATTCTCGCAAACTTCTTTTTAAGTGTTTTGTAACTTACTGCATATTCATTCCATACTAATCCAACCAGTGTCTAAGGTTTAGGTACATTTCTTTCCAGATAAACTCAGTTACATAGCGAATGACAACTTGTAAGCAACTGAAACTTTCGGCGTTCAAATATCAATATCCAAGTTCTCTGAGTCGTCTGAAATTTCGAGAAAGTTGAACGCATCAAACACGTTTTATGAAGGAATCGATTTTAGTGGGAGAATTTTATTTGTACATCTAATAATATTTCATGATAACAGTTTATGTCCAGGATTCCAAGATTACTATAAAGAACGGGACAACTGTAACAGTCCAACAAAAAAACCATTTCTTTGTTTCAGAACAAACGAAAGGTCAATAGAAGCATATAATTAGTTATAAAAGCCGGAGCCATAATAACGATGGATGTTTAATTTAACGGGCTCTGCGGCATGGCATGTAGTTGATCTAAATTTGAATTAAAAAAAAAAATGTCTTTTTCAAAAATATTGCGAAAAATTCAAATGATAATAGTTAGAGTTACCCTTGTTAGAGGTGCCCTTTCGAAAAATCGTGTTTTGAAAAGAGCACAATTAAAGTTTCGAGCTCCTGTACATGCGCTGCAAACTTATGTTCGAAGATAACATTTTCTGACTATTTCTTTTTATCCATTCTTCCAGGGCATACCCAATTTCCTAAAAAAAAAACCAAATTATTTTTGAAAATTTTGAGATGCTTTAGTTTCCAAACTTGACTTGAGTCATGTAATAGGAAAACTGGCAAGGAGTTTCAAGTTTTTATTTCAATACATGGAAAATCAACAGACGATCCTGGGGCAGTCCTGACTTTTGTTTGCGGACATTGGTCATTTTTTCTATCTAAAGTATAGGTTTCTAAGATTTTATAAAGAATTTCAGTATTTTCGATCTGGTCATTCGTCCGTCTATCTGTTTTTGGTGTTTTCGGAGTGCCAAACATTTAGAGAGAGAGAGAGAGGGCTACAACAACATACACTTACTTGCGAAACAAAATATGTGCACTAAATTTGTGTCATACTTGGAAGAATATGATCTCATAAAGGAGACGCGGAGACGAGGGGAATAAGATCTCATAAAGACGACGCAATATTAGTATTTTCAGAATGTCGAACATTGGATTAGAAAATAAATTTTTGCAATAAATTTTTACAATATTATTATAATAATATACAAACCGTAACAGATATCAAAATTTTGAAGGCAATTCGAAGATTTGAATTCGAACATATGCAGTATTTATCACATACAAGTGTTATATTATTATAAGTAGATAACTTCCATTGATATTAATGTTGGATACGGACTAGGGATCGATTGTTTTGCGGGTTTTACGTTGTAATCGATTTGGGAGTTTTGCCAACAAGATGAGCTTACGCATTTAAATAAACACCCTTGATATATATATATATATATACACAATATATACATATGTAGTTGTTATAATCTTAGTTTTACGCATAAATATTTGTTTCTTCTTAATTGTTAATTCAATAATAGTTACAAAAATGTACTATTCTTATAATAATTGTAAGCAACAAATATCAGAAATACTCTTGAAACAAAATTGTACTGAAATCAAAAGTGTAAACCTAGAATCAACCGCGATAATAGATTAATCAGCAGCAACGCCGTCCATTTAAGAACTATAGGACTGATTATGAAAATATTTTTTCTTTTTGGAAATCTTTTTTATATCACGCAAAACCTTGCTATGCTTGTAGTTAAAATTTTTACTTAATAGAATAGAATAGAATTTAAGGTACGGCCGTCAATTATATATAAGGAAATTTATATTCGACGGGAATGAATTGTTAGAAATGGATAATATAGATAATGACGGGTAGATAACACTTTTACATGTCTTTCCGTTAGAAGCACTCTTTCAGTAAATTATTTACTTTGCCATTTATGTAGAATATTGTCATCTTGCTGTGACACCGCATGAGTGAAACATTGATTTTTTCCAGTTTTTTCCGAACACGTGCGTCAAGCACGGCGCAATATAGGTTGTTTTATTAGTTGAAAAATCAAAAGTAACTACGAGGTGCATTCTAAATTAATCAGGACACTTCCAAATGAGCACATTTTCGATGGCCTGCATGTAGTGAAAAAGCATATTCCTTACCGTCTTTTAAATGTTAGCCACACCTGACTAACGAACTTGTTTGGAAGCCGAGTTATAATGTTGTAAGCGACATCATGCGCTACCCACAGACAGTTTTTGCAGATTCCACAAATATTACAAGCGCTTTGAGAATGGCGTTAAAGTCTTTCTCAGATAAACGAAGTTTGCAATATTCAAAGCGCGAGTTCATCGAAATTCTTCCAAAATTTTTAACCGATCATTCCGAAAGGCATATACACGTTTTATCCTATACCAGTTAGCTAAAAATCAAAAATTATATGAAGAAGTCACACTTATTGGTACTGGTTTCTGTTACTGTTATACGATGCCTCACTTGTCAACCCTTCTGCGTGCTACGTCCGAACAGTTGCGGAGTTCCATTATTCCAACATTGTAAAGTTTCTTGTTTTCTTGTCTTTTTTACGACAACGGTATAGCACATGATTGTGTTTTTTATTTTACTTCTATTGAAAACACAGCGACTCAAGTGCTGCGAATTAGGATGCACCCCTTTACAGTTTGATATACACTGAAGTGAACGACAATAAAACTTATAACTCGGACTTTATGCGCCCAAGTGCTATATGTATTTGAGAGAAAATCAATCAGGGATATAGCTTTTAAACTATTAGAAAGGCAATTACAAGCAGCTCCACGTGAGCGTGCAATTTTGAAACACGTCTTTCAACGCACCTTATAAAATGTATGTAGCAACATATCCACAAAAGCAATTAACGAAAAGGCCCAACAAAGTGAAACTTTACACAATGGTTATCGGTCTTTAATTTGCTTTAAAAAGGAGGATTTGGATATCATTGGATGAGAGGATTTTTTGTATCTAACTAATATATATACTATATATATGTAATATATAATTTATTTTTAGTTCTAATCTTATTATTATTGACAAACTTTCTAACTGAATGCTTTAGATTTTGTTGCTTAGTTAGCTAATTAATTATTACGTATGTTTAATTTTAGACTTAAAGAGATTTAAAAAAGAAAAAAGTTTTATAATAATACTAGTGCTACTTAATCACTATAAAATAAATCAGTGTTACTAACAATTTGCCAAAGAAATTGTAATAAAATGCAAAGAAAAAAAAAAAAAAAATTTAAACTATTTATACAAAAAACTTTAATCATATATATTTTTCTATATAATTTTTAATATTTATACTATGTATAGTGAATTGTATTTGTGTTGTCTAAGCGTAAACGATAATCAAAATATTTATAAGTATTTAGTTAGTTAGTTGAAGGCGAAATCAATAAATTCGTAAAACTTATACATGAATTAAACTTACTCTGCATACACTATCTCTCGGTTTTGTTAACAAAAAAAAAAAAAAAAAAAAAAATATATATATATATATATATATATATATATATATATTTATTTATATTTAATAACATAATTGTATGATGATCGTAAGGTTTATACGAGAGTGACCTCTGTGACGTGTACATACTTTTACATGAAATATTATTAAAATTTATAAAACTATTTGTAACTTATGCAGCAAATTATTAACTTTCATTTTGAGCAGACTAAGTCTATTAAGTAGCATTTCTTCAATCTGATCTGAGCTTAGAACATGAGAAAAATCTTTTATATAATTATAATTATGGTTACATGTTATTTAACAGGAAAAACAAATGGAAGAAGAAAGAGAAAAATGCTTCAAACCATTCATAATAAGGAAAGTCCGCGGGACGGAGAACTAAAGAACTCTTAAATTTTTTTTTTTAAATGGTAATGCATCTCGTTTTCTCCCTTGCCAGCATTTGTCTTCGACCCCTTCGCCAAATAAACTTCTCCCTTTCCGATATTTCCTGCTCCGTCAAATCAATTTTTTTTATTTTAGGCGGAGGAGGAGATGAACAAAGCAAGTTTCTAGCGATTTTTTACATCGTTGTCTATTGTGGGAATACTACCTCTACGAAGCCCCAGTAAAAGGGATTTTTTTTTTTTTTTTGCTAAACTAAAACCAACGAGATTGTCCATCTTGACTTTTTGCATCACGACGACAACTGAGTTCAATGAAATCTATTGTCGTCTGTGGCAACTCACAATAAAGTTCAGTAGTAAGTCAAAGTTTCAGCCAGACCTATAAAATTCATTTTGTTCTTAACTCAAATGCCGTTCCACGGACTTTTCAATTGGCTAAGCCAATTGCGTATTTTGTAAAATGTTTTCTATGTACTCTTACAATACTTATATCATTCTTATCCTTATCACAACCAAATTGCAAATTCATTATCCGATTTTTTTCATGTTTGTTCTTCTAATTCTTCGCAAAATACGATACCACAACGATTCTTTTTTCTTTCATATTTTTACATCACTTCACATCATTACCGCTATCATCGTCCTGCCCACGATGCTAAATGCAATAGGTTTGGAAAACGAAGATATGACACCAACATTGCGTCAATTATGGACTGCCATACATCAATTGCAACAGGATATGTCGCAGATTAAGCAAATTATAAATGATGAGGTGGCTTTAAGAGTGAGTTTACAGCAATTGTTAATGCAACATTTAGAGACGGGCAGTGCAACCGGTAACACATCAAAATGTTGACTATGGAAGTGAAATGTTCATTTCCTTCGGCAGACGTCACCATAAGAAAATTAAATGGGGAAATGATCACAACTAACTGCAAAGCGATGAGATGAGATGACATAAACAAAATCGTGAAATCATAACAGGTAACAGAATAAGTAGAAATTTTTTTTTAATTTACAAAAGCAGAAAAATTAAAAACAAATTGTAAAATTATTTCACAAATACTGACCTCGCACAAAGGATGCAAAAAGGATGAAATCTTATAAATTGTTCATTCGTTGCAATTGGTCTTCATTTTTCTTCATGCATGAAAAATGAAATTTTTATGACTAGCGAATTAACCGCTTGGGTAGTTCGCCAGTTTTGTCCAAAAGCCCTAATTGATGGCTGTATCTTTTCTTCCGCTGGTAGGGAATTGGAAACATTGTGAATAAAAAAAGATTTTCGCTTCTCTACTTGTGGGTTTTATTGCCAATTTAACAACTACGTCGGTTTTTACCATAATATATGATTTTAACTCAAGACTGACTCATGCGATCTGATAAAATATCGATCTCTAGCTCCTTATTTCTCCCTTTAGGATTTCTCCTATATTAGAGAATAATATAAACATCATAATTAAGATACTTGATACTATGGTGATCTGTTGTGTAAAATGTGTGCCATCACGCCTCGGTTGTCTGATATTTCGATCCTGCTGTTGCTAGGAGTAATAGGTATGCGTTGAGACAGAGACGCATCGGCCTTGGCGCTTTAATTGCACGACACAGCTTTCCGCGTAGACCTCGGTGTCGGTTGTATATATACATATGGCGGGTGTATATAAATATGTATCTGTTGACAACCATTTTTTTTTTTAATTTTTATATTTCCCATTTTTTATAAAAATCAGTAGTTTCGAACTGAATAATTGATTCATTTCTTATTTTTATTTCGATTGATTTCTTAACCTTAGATAGTTTTTTTATAATCTTTCCCTTTTCTTGCAAAGAAGCTTCGAGTTCATCTTTGGTTTCTAATAAAGTTTTAAAAAGATTTTCATCAAATCATATTTTTCTGATAGTGTTGATGTTGTCCTTTCCCTAGGGGTTAGTCGGTCTGGACTGTAGAAGTACTTGGTCAGTACAATTTCTATACAGTATATTAACTCTTATATTAAAGTCTGAAATAAATTTTAATATATAACTTGTAGCTAAATAATTGCGGATTCCGCTCTTTGTTGTTGTCGGTGGGAGCCTATGCAGCCGCAAAACAGAGTATATTATCTAAAAGTAACGAATGAACATTCATAAGAGCCTTCACCTCTAAACACATTATATGTAATATAATATAATGTAAAAATATATATAAGGTCTTTATCATCTTCACGCGATATTAATGAAATATGAATTTATGTATTTGTGAATATTTCCGGTCATTCGCATTCATACATTTTGAATTGCCACTGTTTGAATTTTTAAACAGTCGTTGATATGAACATAATTTAAAAAAAAAAATGGAAACAAAATCACTTAACATAAAAAAAAAAAAATCTCGATTTTCATTTCACGATTAAAATGTGAACTAATATAAAATGTTCGCAATATACGTGTATGTGTTATACGTATGCAATTCGAGACAATATATATATATATATTTATATATATATGTATAACGAAGTAAATATAATTTAAAAGTAGTAGTATTTAAGAGAGATATAAACAATTATATAATAATAAAAAAAAAAAAGAAAAGTATTAATTGTTTAGATCGTACATTCAAATAAATTATTTTCTTTTATATTAAATAAAATTGTACGGTATGTAGTGTATTTATTTATTTATGATCGCGCAAACACATTAATACTTCCTTTCTAGTGTATAGAGTGTGGCCTCATTATTGTGGTAAACTAAAAATTTGTATACAATTTTTATTAAACAAAAATAAAGAGTTAAAAGGAATTTTTTGTAACTATAAAATAAAAAAATTATAATTTTATTTTTGAATTTACAAGAGTTTTAGAGTTACTAAGCATATTTCTCGCATGCGTTCTCGTTGCAGAACATAAATTTGAATCAAGTGGATAAGGAAGTGTCAATTTTCGCAATACACAGGTGGACGGATGGAGGATATTCTTTTCCGATTCCTTCTTATTACATATTTAAGCATTTATTAACTAACTACGAATATTTCGAACATATTTAAAACTGATTTTAGAAGACTGTTAAGAATAAACAAAGGTTTACGAGAGGTCAGTTTAGAAATCAGGTGAACCGAAAAAACTTGATCAGAACGTAACATTTTGTACTTAAAAGTAATCATTTTTAAAGAAATCCATTGAAGCAGTCAATAGTTGGTATAATCAGCATCGCTTTAAGGACAGCTGATATTCCTTCCGGCATACATGAAATCAATTTAGAGCAGATCACTATTGGAATATTATACCATATTGTTGCAACATTTTTTCACAATTCTCTTTCGATGTTATACGAAACTTCACCTCAACACTCCCCAAGAGGCACATAGGGAAATAGGATTGAGGTTGGCACCACGCTTTCACTAAATTGGATGAATATTTTGGATCATAATCCTGCTGAAATTTCTATACCCGCCGCATATTATCTTCGGCACTCGTACGGTGGCATTGCAGTTTCCAACAAGATTTTATCTACACATATATCTACAGCGGAGTCTATGAGATGTGCCACACCGATACACTCTCAAGAAATCTGGCTCAAATAATAAAATTTTCTACGCCATGCTTTCCCATTTTTTCGGCAAATGTTGAGCGGAATTTTTTTAGATTTATCTTCTCTGCGGGGGATTACTCTCTCATTACGAACACTAAACCAAAAAGCTAAACTTCTCACGGTTCGGCAAGGTATTGGAAAAAGTGATTGCCCTCGATTGCGTTGTTTGTATATCACTTCCTCTAATCCTCCACGTCGTCGCTACATAAATCATTTACTCTAATTATTTCGTCTCTTATGCTCTTATAGACGCTCTCCGATTTGACTTCGTGTAAATTCTAGGCTTTCAAACAGTTATTACCCAATTTATTTAAAAAATTTAGCCCAGCTTGCTTTGGTAAAATATTTTCCATTTCTTCATGGGAAAGTGCGCGTTTATATCTTTTCCTCTTGAGAGATTTTAAAAAAATGTAGTTGGAAACAGCTCTAATTGTATGTATACAAGCAAAATTATTTTTTTGTTGATTAATGTCTTTGTTTTCGAAAGGAAATTTCTCTATAATACTAGCAAAGGTTTTACTTTTATAACCGAAAATCGCCTCGTCTTCATTTCTTGAGTTAACTACTTTATTATAAAATAATAATATTAAAACTAATCTCAATAAACTAGGAATAATTTTTATTGAATTTATTAAATTTTCCAGTATTTCCTATAAAAATTTTCGTAACATTGAAAGGCACAGGGAAATAAAAAGGCTCTTTAGACAGATTTGACTGCTCGATGATAACATTTTTAACTTTTCGGGCAGTTTTTTTTCCCTATTTATGGACTTTTCTTCTTCTATTTATCAAGGAAAACCTGCTAAATGAAAAGTATATTACTTATATCCTTATTTTCCGAACGCCCTAAATGTGCTTGTTGTGCTCACAATTGAATTGCATTTAGTTCTTGCATAAGGTATTTCCTTGATAGACTTATAATCTTTGTCAAATATGGCTGCTGATGCCATGTCTGGAGAGTGTCCCAGTGTACTTGGTCGACCTGAATAGGAGTTACCTCTCAAGACGTACGTTGGTGTACGAGAGCGGAAACGATAGACATTACTTTCGTTGTTAGAGCTAAACATGTTAGAGAGATGGAGAAAACAGCCAACAGGATCATTGCAAATGTGGACCTGGCATGGGACCAGGCTAAACATAAAATCACACACTTAACAACCTGAAAAAACGTCAACACTATGTGCATGAGGATGTGTGGCGACATCATCCGATCTTCTTCCACACTTAAGTACCTTGATGTGATTATTGATAACCAGCTAAACTTTGTAACGTCCGCGAACAAATGTAGGGTAGGGGTTTTATCGGTCGACATCGGCCGGGATTCCATAATCTTTAGTACCCTTTACGCCAAACATCAGACGGCCTCGAACTGTTGTAAGAGCAAACCTAGCGTGAGCTACAGCTGCATACAGGAAGGTGACTAGCCTTATCCCGCCTTGGAACGATTTCGAAACGGACAGTTCTAGCGATCGTGGCGATCCATCAAGATGCCCTCAAAAAGAAGCTCTTGACATCAACGATCAGTTGGCACACGCAACGGAAGATTGCAACGGAAGATAGGTGGACGTTCTTGCTCAATAGCATGATATTACTTCACACGGTTGTTAACTAGTCATGGCTGCTTCCGAAGCTATCTCCACCAACATGGCCAAGATAGCTCCCTAGTATACCTGAGCTGTGTATATGTGGAAGATGTGGAGCACGTGATCTTCCAGGTTTGGCTAAAAATTACACACAAGAGTGTACGGTCGAAATTCCTGAAGCATGGGGGCTGTAAAAAACTTAGCGAGCAATGTGCTCCACGAAATAAGGCGGCTAAGAGAAGACCAGTTGAATAGAAGAGGAAGTGGATGCAAGTAGAATGTTTCGCTAAGGTCCCACTATTTGGAGAGCTTCAACTGCAACCAATCCCTGCAAAGTAATACCTAACGGTGGTCTCGCGGCGGAAAGCGGTCGACGAAGTTTGTGTAAGAAGTAGTTTTACTACATAAGTGCCATGGATGGGAAATCGTTCATGCTGCTGGTACGAACCAGCAGTATATTTAGAAGGTTCCTTTCTAAGGCTCGCATAGCAAAAAAGAAACCACACACATATACGCACACAGGTACGCACATGCGGTTCCCTTCAAGCAACTCTCAACACTAAGGCATTCCTAATGTTCTCTACTTTTTAAAACAAATGTATTCATCAGAGACTGCGAGACACAAGCAATGAATAACAACGAATGCTGCTCTTTCCCCTTCTGCTTAAAATAACAAAACAAGAAAACATAATTCTCATAGTTATAACAAGCAATAAAAACAATCAATTTTCCTAGAAAAGGGATTGCTTGCAACAGAATATGAACATAAACAAAAAATATATCAATGCTGGATACCTTCGATAACGTTATTCAGCGCATCAGTTAGTATAAGTTTCGAAATGACAGTGTTCAGACGAAATCGTGAATGGCAATACCATTTCGCTGTTCCTTTGTTTACTTTTCTTGCTTTATTACATATATGCCTTTTAAATAAAATATATTGTTGTTGTTGCCTTTTGCTTTGTCATGTAAAGAAGTCTTTTTTGCGCTCCTGCCTTTATCATCTTAAAGGGTTAAAATATCATAATTTAAAATACTATACTCGCTTTCTCATAAGCAAGCACTTCCACTAACCAATAGAATACATAAAGTAGACGTTGAAGTGGTGCCTTTTGCTGTAAGATAATAATGTATTGATTCTCAAGTTAAAGTGTCTTTCCTTGTAATAGTGATTTCATGGTTTCTTCTCAAAGGGTTCAAATAAATAAATAAACGAGTTCCGTTTCAATCACATTCAATCTCTCAACCTAAATGTAGAAAGTAACCAAACAACTTTTTCTAGATTTTTTTCATATTTATTTACTATAGAATATAATAGATTATACAGATTGTTTATTATAGAAATAGCTAACAATATATCAAAAAAATTAATGCAAATTTTTACTTAGTTGTATTAATAGCATTTATATTTTTTACATTTCAGATGCATCGCATTTTTAGTTATGCTTGCTATATTATCTAGAAATATATTTTCCTCAGTCGTTGGATATTTCCTCAGCTAGCTTTGGTAGTCCATGTAATAGTTCCGCCTCACCATTGCTAAAGTAATGGACAGATGAAAATGGCCGCATATTATAAGAAGACAACGAGACGTTTAACAGCTTAAAATGCTGAACACAATGATTGCGTTTAGTGTGACGTAACATTGCGTCGCATTTGTTTGTATAAATATTAATGAAAAATTGCAAAAATCAATAAAGTGAAAAATTTGTTTTAGAATCGACTTTCGAAACTAAGTCGAAAGAAATGAAAAAAATCGCATAGCAAGAAGATTCTGTATGCTTCTGCGCGAATAACGCCAATAGAAGTGCCTTCTATTTCATTGATATTTTGAAAAATCATTTTAACCAAAATTCAATTTAATAACACAAATATATCTCAAACTTACTATCTCTGCAAGCTTCTAAATAAAAAATTAAACGTAAAAAACACAAAAAAGATGCATTTATGACGAAAAAATTCAAAAAACCCCGCTATATATCGCTTTGGCGTGACATATTAAAAGTTTCCTTCATTCTCCTATTTACATGGTTGAGGAATTCCATTTCCAAATCCTGGTGTCATTTGGTGAGCGTTTTTTTCTGTTTTTATTCCTATGTCTCCTTCTCTTTGTCTTCCGTTTCAAGTTTCCTTTCCACTATATCCGTCATTTTGGATATGATTATTATTACATATTTGACATCTTCATCCGCCTTCCATCTAGAAGGTGCTGAACTTGCAACCAATATGACTATTGCCTAAATGCTCAAATTTTTTTTAGTTCTATAAAAAAAAGGTACACGTGTCATACTTACTTGTTCAGTGCTATGGAACCCTCGAAGACGTCGCAGAAGTCTCTTCTGACATATTCCGGAGAGGCGGCA